TCTATCTATCTATCTATCTATCTATCTCTCTCTCTCTCTCTCTCTCTCTCTCTCTCTCAATTTCTCTTTTTTCCTCTCTCGTTCGTTCTCTCTTTATATCTCTCTCATCCTCCTCCTTCCCTCCTTCCTCCTCCTCCCCTCCTCCTCCTCCCCTCCTCCTCCTCCTCTTAACTCCCTTTTTTTTAATACATGTATAACGAAACCACATGGTATTCACCACACCCCTTTTACCCCCACCTTCTTTTCCAGGCAAAGATCTACCTGGATCAGAATGTATATCTACCAGCTCTGCATACGTCAGACGTGGAAGCAGCTGAGGAGACAAGCGATGTCTCCACTAGTAGTGATGAAGGTGATTTTTTAATATTCTCCCATTTCAAGAGATGCTCTTGTATTTGCTATAAATAATTTAAAATCTGGCACGGTTTGTGGACCTGATGACTTATCGCCGGAATTTCAAAAATTCTAGTACCAGAGTCTTGCTGACTTTCTCCTATCTCTTTTCAATTCAGTTTTCTCCACTGGCACTAATGCAGAGGAGTGGACCAAGTGTGTGGTGTTTCGTTTGCACACACACAAAAACTTTAGGGTTGAAAATAATTTTAGGTGCATAAGTTTACTGAATGTTCTTGGCAAATTGTTCTCATTCATTATGAACAAGACAGCAACAAAGGTGTGCATGGAGGTGACCTCATCCCTGAATCTCAGACTGGTTTTTAGACGAAATTATTTTATAATAGATAATATATTTCCACTTCAATATTTAGTCCAAAAATATATCTCCAAGCCTTTCAGAAGGTTCAAGGTATGTTTTGTCGATTTTTAAAGCATTTGGTTGGGTTGACAGAGAAAAGCTTTGGACTGTATTAAAAAGCCATGATTGTTCTGAACCAATGTTATACAATTTTGAAAAATATGTATCAAAGTGTCCTTTCATGTGTTGAAGTCTGCCCAGGAGAATGAGAATTACTGAAAACTCCCAATATACATGAGGTGTCAGACAAGACTGCATAGTTAGCCTTATATTATTTTCTTTGTTTATTTCTCAATTAGAAAAAAAACGTCTTTCAGAATCAGATACCCATGCTATACAGGTGTTGCCCAATAATCATAATGGTATTTTGTGTTTAATGAACGCTGATGATCTAAGTATCTAAGTCTTTTTAACGATAATGTCAGAGTTTTACAAAAGAAAATCATGTTATATGATTTCTGCCAGATATGGGGATTAAAAGTCATTACGGAGAAAAGTAAGATTGTTCTTTTTAGAAATGGAGGCCATCTCAAAAGATCTGAGCATCGCGTCAATACTGAAGACGAACGTTAGAAGATCGAGAGCGTGTAAAGATCAGCGGATTGTTTCTCGCGCAAGAAGGCTTTTCGATTCTTACTAGGAATTTTATATAGCTTTGAAATTTCGGGTACCAAAGTTGGGACTTGATCGACAATTTTTACATGTTTTTTGTCATTAATTTCTTGTGCAGACTTATACACTTAGGATATCCAAGAACAATGTTACACATCCAAGGATAATGTTACATGCAATTTTATTGCTCCTGTGAACTGGGCAGAGACAACTGGACTACTGAAGTTAAAAAGCTATTATATTCCTTGGGGTTTGGATATGCCTGCTTTTCTCAAAGTGTTGGAAGCACTAATTCATTTCTCGGTGAAGTAAAAATAGGTTTGCTGATCATTCTGTGCAGAGCATAGAGGAAGAAATCTGTGGCAAGTATGATTTATTATCTCTAAAAATTCCGTTTCATAAAACAACTGATATAAAACCTCACATGGTATTTGAACAGAAGATTCCTAGCCTTGTTAAAACCCCGTAACCATTCATTAAATTTATTTTTTTAGTGTCCAAATTATGCCCTTCAAAGGGATTTGTTTATTCCTTCCAGCTTGATTCGGCCAAGTGACAGAAATATGCAATGTTTGACCCATGATAAAAGTTATGCACACCACCTGTACTTTTTCGTTATGGAAACTTTATTTAACAAATTATGAGTGTTTTATGTGATGTGGTGTGGGCCAATGGCCTTAAGCACTGAATAAACTTACATATTTTAACACCCAAGAAACAGAGTACGACATGAACAAGAACAGCCCTGAAGCCAGACGCACAACTCCAGGCAAGGAGAAGTACCAGGATGTAGCAAGGCTACTTTTGGAGCATGGAGCAGACGTCAGGGCCTACAACTCCGAGTCTTTGACGCCGTTGGACGTGGTGGAGAAAGGAGACGATCCGGTCCTGGTTGATATTCTCAAAAATAGGACCTAATGATGATGACGCTATTGCGTTGTCATTTATTTGCTTCTCTCTATGATTCATTTTAAATTTATTTTCACATTCTCTGTGTTTGATTTCGTTTTGTCATATGTATAAACAATTGTATTGTACCGCCAGTGTTACTTTATTTTACTTCAGTTTGTAATTTTACTTCGTCATTTCTTTATTTTTTTAAAAGTGTGTCGTGCCTTCAGAGTCTGTCTTTACTTTCTCCACCAACTTTGGCCAGGGATAGGTTCGTATCTTTTATAAGGAGAAGACTCAGGGGACGATTTTCTCTAAGAGGTGATAATTCTCGCGTTAATTATCCTTTTTGCGCTATAATTCTTTCATTCATGTCTGTTGCCAATGTCATCACCTGTCCCTTGAACCCATACATCATCGCATAGCTGTTACGGTATCCTAAGCCCCCCCCACCCCCCCAACCCCCCCAAAAAAAACCCCCAATCTTCTTTCTTTCAGGATGGCGGGAACATTGTATCAATCTCTTAGCAGTTGAACCTACTTTGTGTATCTTTTCTTGCTTTAGAAAAACACTAGCTGGGCCCCCTTTCGATGAAAGGAATGATCGGTGCATTAACATCAACTGAAAATCATTGGCCTACTATATTTACACTCTACTGGAATGGAGCAATAAACCTTGAGAGATGCACAAAATTAGAAGGTCTAGATCTAGATCTATACTCAACAAACAAAAATGCGCCCAGCGAGATATCACTTCCGCATCGGATTTTCTAAAATTACAGAGACAGAAGCGTCAGCCTACAAAAGCGATCGGCGAAATAAAGAAATTTAGCTTTTTGCAGCAAAACTGTTGCAAAACTGAAAAAACGAAGGGCGTCATGATCTGGAAAATATTTTAAAGAATTTTTTGGCGAAAACCGCATGTAGATCGATGCAGCCATTAAAAAGCCTTTTGAATAGCAAAATTCGGCCACCACAAATAGATAATAGATTTAGAATTTGAATCTTGACAAAGTATTTTTTCAACTTATGAAACCAATACCTAATACCCCATGAATACAAAACTACAATTCCTAAAACAAGAAAAATTTAAAAATGAGGGCTTAGTAAATCTGAACAGCTGGTCCACAATAAGGGGTCCACAATAAGTCGTTCTTTCCTTTGAACATATTTGAGGCATGCTGATGAAATGAGTTATTTATCAGAACTTCACCCTATGGACTCGAACAAGTGCATGAGATTTATAGTTTGGGGCTGCACAATTTATTAAATTAAAAGATAAAATAATGACTGTTTAACTGAAGAATATGGGATTCGTTTAAAAAATTGATGTGTCTATTTTTGGCCTATATCTCCACTCGTGGATTGCTTGGAATAACTTATTTTGTCAACACACCTCACCCATGGTTTTCCCATCATAGTTTCTACTGTTGAGGTGACATGCTATTATCTCGGTTGTGTTATCTTTTCTTCGTTTTGTTTTTTTGCTACACTGTATAATGCATTTGAATCAGGCAAAAGCAACTAGCTATTGTCGAGAAGAAAGGTGGTCACCTTAGACAGAAGGTCTTCTTGAACAGTGTCATAATGTTAGAAAAACCCAAGGGGGGTGTAGAAATTAGTGGTCGTTTGAGTGAGGGATTGTCTTGTACAAGTGGTCGTTAGAGTAAGTTCGACTGTATTAGGCCAATATCATTCACTTGTCTCTTCACCTCTATGGTCCTCTCCACCGAAAAGAGAAAATAGAGCCTAATCAATGTCCGCAGTATTGCATTATTTTCATGATGAACGGCTTTAGCGTATTATTCAATTTCTATAAATTTTAATCGAGGGTCAATGTTAATCTTACATTTTATACAGCTACTATTGTGAAAACATACCTGTCACTTTTCCAAGATAGCCAGGTATGCTCTGAAGGAAAAATTGTAGCTCAGTAAGTTGGTTCTCTGACCTGGGTACAAATCAGTGTTTTAACTTTAGATGTTAGAACCATATTGCGGCATCGGTGTTTTAACCTTAGATGTTAGAACCATATTGCGGCATCGGTGTTTTAACCTTAGATGTTAGAACCATATTGCGGCATCGGTGTTTGAGGTGTGGCTGGTGGGCTCTTACTCTAAGGTATCGAATAAAAGTGGGGAGGGGGGA